GATGGACAGGAACTCTTTCAGATCCGTTTCACCCGAATACCTTGGGACTGGAGGGAACTTGAACTGGGGTGGGATGGGGTGACTTTTGATTCCCCAGCTGAGGGGCAAACCCTTTTCGCCACCTGGCTTGGTTGTAGCCCCTTGTTGGGAAGGCCAGTTCAGTTGTGGGTACGGAGGCGTGAATAGCGAAGCTACAGCTTGCACTTGAGGTTGAGCCGTAGATTGATGTCCCATGCCGAACATCACTGCCTGATTCTGCTGGTCTGTCGAAGTAGCTTGCCTCGCCGTAGCAGGGTCAAACATAGCTTGATTCCAGGCTTGGCTTTGCGGTGGGGCTGTTCCGTACCCATGGGGTACGGCCAATGCGAAAGTCATGGGTGCCTGGGCCGCTGTGCTTGGGTCGAACTATGGCGGTGGGCCTTGAGCTTGACTTAGCAAAGCGAACTGGCTGGACAGCTGTCCCGTCGAAGCACCTTGACTTGGGCCTCCCTCGGCCGTGGCCGGAGATGAATTTCTTGGTATATTGTTGTGGGGTTGATTGAGTTGTTGCAAGAAGGCTTGAAACTGCGCTTGCAAGGTCGAAGCTGCTTCCATCATAGCTTGCGGCGTCACGCCGAAAAGCGTGGTAGCAGGCTTCGGGTATTGGGCTTGAGGTGCCGCCGGGCGAACCGGTGCCGGGATCATTTGAGGCGTTGGACGCGCGGCAATGGCCGGGGCGGGCTTGGCGAAGTACACCGACGCCTGCATAGCGTATGGAGAAAGAACTTGGGGCTGAGCGTAGAACTGTTGGGTGTGAGCCTTGGCTTGTCTTGCTGCTTCGTACGCTTGTTGCTGCTCTTGCATCTGGCGAAGCGTGTCTTGGAGTTTTGTCATATTCTGACGCATGGCCTCCATGTCAGCTTCGGCTTGTGCTTCAAGGTTGGTGTTGGCTTGCGAGGTGGTGATCGCTGTTGATGTCGAAGCTGGTTGTGCGAAAACGGCGGTCGAAGGGCCCCCCGCTACTTGGGATGAAAAGATTACGTCGGCCTTCGCCGCTGCTTCCGCTTTCACCGCTTCCGCCTCAATCGAAGATGTGGGCGCCGAAGACGGGAGAGTTGGTGCCACCGGAGTTGGTACCGTTCCGGCTTCGCCCGTGGAGGCCGAAGGCTCTGCTCCCTCTTCGGCTAACATCTCGTCTTCGACGTCACCTTCCTTTCGCCTGACAACTCTCTCCTTGACGGTTTTCTTCGGTGGCATCAGTGGTTTCGCTCGGAGGTCCCCACGGTCGGCGCCAGCTGTTGTCGAATGGACAACTGCGTCACGCCGAAAGGCGTGATTCTCTCAACAGTGGTTGGAAATAAAGACAATTGTATTGCTTTGTAAAATTTTTTGGATCCCCCCATTACAAGGCCTAAGGGGGCTATTTATAGCCCTATTACAGGTTCCTTCCTTTAGGGTTTAGGTTTTACAAGGCAATTTACATGGCTACCCTTATGATAGGAACATTATTGGGGGTACACAGTGTCCTTTACATGTATGGGCCCTTATTGGGCTTAGATGGCTTGGCCCATTCATCCGGCAAATCCTCCTCGAGAGTGTAACGGCCCGCTAGGCCTCCTCGCGGTGGGGTTCGGCGCTCGGCGAAGCCCGTGTCTCCGTGCTAAGGCTTTCGCCTCACCATCTTCGCCCGCGGAGCCCTTCGACAAGGTCTTTGCCTGGCGAAGCCCGCGTTAACCCGAGCCACAGCCTTCGCCCGTACGGTTTCCTCTTCGGCCTTGGCCCTTTGCTTTCGGACTGAGCCTTATCGCCCGAGCGGGTGGTTTCGGCAGGTCTGGCCGAAGGCACTTTGTGGTATACCTCCAACAATATACATAAAAGAATATTAACACGAGAGTATTTATATTGGCATATAAAACATAAAATATATTTTTTTGAAGTTAATACGTGCAAAATGAAAAATCTTGAAATATACACACTGTTATATTAAGCAAGGAGGCTGCATAAAAAATTTCATATTTATTCAAAACTTCTAGTAAGTTCGTCAACTGTAACCTCTTGTAAGTCTTGAAGAGCATTTTAGGTATTTTTTAAAAGTATCCACCCCTAATGGTATATTGTAGAAAAAATTGACAAAGTCAGTGGCATATTATAAGGAAAGACAAAGTTGATGACAAATCATCGAACTAGACTAAACTCAGTGACATAGAATGGATTCTATGTTTTATCGCTCATCTCTTGATCTAACTGTAGTTTTCTTGTGTGTAGGTCTAGATTATTTGCATAAGGGTTGCAACCTGCCAATAATTCATGGGGATGTAAAGACAAATAACATTCTCTTGGGTCGGAATTTAAAAGCAAAAATAGCAGATTTTGGGCTTTGAAAAACCTACCATAGCGACTCCCAGACTCACATATCAGCCACTGCAGCAGGATCTATGGGCTACATTGACCCTGAGTATGAGCTTCTTTGTACGCAATTAATGCTAATTTTGTGCTGTGTTTCATATATATTAATGATTCTATTCAATTTTATCCTTAATCACTTGGTGCAATCATTGTGTTTAACAATGTGGGCCATTTTTAGGTACTACATCACCGGTAGGCTCACTGAGAGTAGTGACGTCTTTAGCTTCGGTGTTGTTTTACTAGAGGTAACTAGTGGTAAACCTCCCATAATACCTGAAAATGGCCACATTATTGAACGTGTGAGGCAGAAGATGGTCACCGGTAACATCAACTCAGTTGCCGATGCACGTCTTGGAGGTTCTTATAACATCAACTCCATGTGGAAGGTTCTAGATGCTGCCATGATGTTCACAGCAGATAGCTGCTCAAAGGCCAATGATGTCGGTCGTGGTCATGCAATTGAAGGAAAGTCTGGAATTGGAGGAAGCTCATGGGGACATGGGCGACATGGAAAATGTAGCAAGAGATAACAAGTCTTTGATGTCCATGTTCGGTCCATCGCCAAGATGAAGAATTAACCATTGATAACTAGCTTTGGGACATATAGTGGGTTCTCTGCTTCAAGTCTAAAATAAAAAAAACTGGTTTGCATAGATGATTTGTTTTGTGTTAAGACACAATAATTTATACAGTTTGTATTCGTGACAGAGCTGACAGTAAGCTGTTTGTTTCAATGTGCAACAGTAAGCTATTCGTGAGAGTAGATCAGCCAAATGCTGAGAAGGTGGTTGTTTACAACCAAAGATTATGTACTAGAATCCTCTGCCATTTTATAATTTGATCGAAATGTTCCACAGCCTCATGGATAATTCAGCACAACTGCAAAGGGCAGCACCTCATGACAGAGCTGAGGAGCATGTCAGGACTCGACCATCAAGCAAGAACGAATGATCTCGTTATTCCCGTTTCCTTTTTTTTTTTTTTGGGGGGGGGAGGGGTGGTTTCTCTAATGTGTAAAACCTATGTAGATGTCGTTATTCATACTGCTCCAACGATGCAGTTATGAAACTTACAAATCTAAAAGACATGTTTCGTTGATTTTGGTTAGGCGTAGTTGCATAACACATTGCAAAGTCAAGGTAAGAAGATCTTTACTTAGGTGGATTTCTTCCTAATTCTAATCATGTGAGATAGGATATCTCATAAATTGATTTTTCTGGACGATACCCTTTTTAGGTTGTAGACGGACCATAACTGCTTCTGCCTGCAAAAATCCCTCACACGGGGTGAGTTCAAAGCGCTGCATGCAAAATAACATTTGCATGCGGCCTCTTAAGAGATCCACATATACAAATAGACTAACCTTTTCAGGTGAGCCTCCTTAGTGGCTACATGCGAAAATCAGATTTTCACAAGCGCCTCCTTAAGAGGTCCACTTGGAAAAATCACTGCAAACTAAATATAAAAACGAAATCCACTCCACTCCTCCACCTCTCCTCTCTTATCTTCTCCCCAATCTCCCTCTCGTGAGCGCGGCTGGAGCAGCGGGAGGGTCGGCGATTGGTGGCGGGCAGGAGCGACCAACGTCGGGCTGGAGTGGTAGTGAGCTCGGCAATGTGGGATCCAGCGTGGAGGACGGTGGGAGCGGCGGTGGCGGCACACTCGTATTGGGCATCGGTGCCCTCGGCTACGGAATCTGACGCGGAGGACGGCGGGCTCGGGCGGCGGTAGCAACGCTCTCGGCTAGGGATTCAGCGCGGACGACGGTGGGAGCGGCGGCGGTGCCCTCGGATTGCATGGTGGTGCCCTCGGTTGCAGGATGTGGAGCTCGGCCGCGGGATTTGATACAAAGGACGGCGGGAGCAACGGTGATGGTATCGGGTGACGACGGCGGTGTCCTCGGCTGTGGGGTCTGGCCGGAGTGACAAGCTCGATGGCGAAGGATCTAGCCACGCCGTCCTCGAGAGGGGCGGATCCACCACCCTCATCCACGAAAGGGGTGACCACGACATTGGGTAGCGACAGTGGATCTGACGGCGCCACCCTTGGGATGGGCGGATCAGCCACCCCTGGCCCCGAGAGGGTGTCGACTGCAGTGGGTGGAGTTTGAGGGTAGCGGATCCATCCCCCCTCCCCCCAGCGCGGGTTGATGGGCCTTCTTTATGGCACTAAAAGAGATCTTATGATAGATGACGCTTCATTTACGTTATAAACATTGAATTTTTTGTCATGTTTCATAATATGTGACGCTCGCGTGACGAAAATTCATTCGTCACCTATCATGCGTCTCTAATGGCGTTCTATGACGAAACCTTATTTTTTCATTAATCTAGTGACGATCCTTCTGTCATCGTAACTTTGTGATGCTCATATTCGTCATTATCTAGCTAAAAAACGTCATAAAATATCTGATGGCCCATTAAAATCAATGTATTGAGCACTCTGTTTATGGGCTTTAGCCCAATGGCTAGCCCGACTAGATTTTAGCCTGGCCCATCTATGATGTAGCATATTTTCAGCCCAATTCTATTATATCCATTTGCTTTAATATCAAATAATAAATGGGCCAAGTCCATTGCAAAAGCCCATATAGGCCCAAACATTATACCACACTATTTTCAGCCCGTCATATTATATTCATTATATTAGTATCAAATAACAAGTGGGCTAAGCCCATATAGGCCCAACAATCAAACATAATAACAACCCATATAGGCCCAACAATCAAACATAATAACAACCCATATAGCACAAAGGTTTCAGCCCAATTAGCATCCAACACAACCCGACAAACATCCAATACAACACAAAATTTACAACACAGCAAATCAGCAAATCAACTGGTTGGCCACTCGTGGGAAGTGTTTGAACTGTGGCAGGGATAGGAAGTGCTTGAACTGCGGCAGGGACAGGGACAAGAAGTGCTTGAACTGCGGCAGGGCCGGCCTCAGCTTGCTCAGGAACCCCTATATCAAATACACAAAGTGCAACAGATTAGGCACCGATTGACTCATTACATGATAAAATTGTGCACAGCTCAGAACGCGCTATAATGTACGGCTCCATTATCCATTTGCAAACAAGCCTAAATAGAAGAATAGGCATTGAAAAATACCTCAAGTAATGAAGTTTCAGCAATAAATCACATATATGAATCAGGGAGGATAGATATACATAGAATCTGGAAAAAGGAGAGCAAGGATTGATTAGGGACTGCGGAGGATTGAATCAGGAGGAATGTCACTTGCTTCTACTTACCATGCTGCTGCTGCTGCTTGCCTTCCGCCTGCTGCATCGCGCCTGCTGCCTGCTGCCTCGCCACTTGCCACGCGCATGTCCCTGCCGCGTAGCCGTGCTGCCGGACACCAGCGCTGGATATGAGAAACACATAAGATTGTTGACAAACAACATACTATATTCAACCATGAAACTACTTTTGAGGTGCTCATAATCCCAGGCGCCCAGCAAACAAACCTAATATTGCATCTTCGATATATTTACAGGATTTGAGCCTTATGAGCTTCTTATTAGATAGAGCTATGGGCTTTGAGCCCAAAAGAGCTTCTGAGAGCTCATGAGCTAGCTAGATCTTGGCTTGTTAAGAAGACACCGACTCGTTTAATTAATTTTACGAGTCGAGTTGAGCCCATAATAAGAAGATGAGAACAAGCTTAGCTTTTACAGTAAGTTTGTAACTGTTAATTGGCATGTTCTTGTCAAAAAAGTTTTTTAAGTGGCCATGTTTAGTAACAGGACTAATCCAGAATGCATATACCTGTAAATATTATTCAGTAAGTAAGTTTTTTCAAGGCAATCATCAGTATGTAAGCTTATTTTTTCTTGGGATGTATGATAAAAGTGGTTATGAAGAACTTTGGAACATAAAGGGGGTAAAGAAAGTTGTGCAGACTCGTATGAAAAAAAAGACAGATTTTTCAAAGAACCTTTTCTCTGAAGCATACTTTGTTGGTCTTCATCTCCATGCTCAGTTACTTGAGCAACCTACTAACCTCGTCAGCATGCAGAGATCCAGAGTTTAGATGAGCCAAGAAATCTGCACAAGAAAAAGGTATCACAATCTTCTTTCATCTGCATGAGAAATAATGCCAAGAGAACTTCCCAGTTTGATCAGTTTGGGAGAACTAATGCAGTTGCCCTCCCTCTGAAGAAAGGTACTCCTATATCTGAACAAATAGGATTTTTAATAGATTTATCCTTGCGATATGCCCTTGATGTGTTTAAACATCTGAATAAATTTTGCTCCATGCATCTGAAATTCTAAATGTCTGATGCTGCAATGTCGTGCTAATTGATGTTGGTACTACTACATTACAGGTTACAAATTACAAGTCTTTGCACTTCTCATTTTTTAAAAAAGAAAAAAAGATAGGAAAAAGAACAGACCTAGACAGGCTGCTGCAAGAGAGGACATGGTGAAGCAGCAGCAGTAATCAGCCGCCGCCGGTGCCGGTGACGCCGAGGTCTGGCTTGCCGTCGTCCTCGCTGCTTGTATGAGGCCAGCTCCAAGAACCCCCGCTGCTTGCTCCTGTAAAGCAGCCTGCGCAGCACCCACCCGAACACAACACGCCCCAGCCATCAACAACCGCCGCCGACGACGAAGTATCAGGGGGAAAGAAACAAGTAGAGAAAAACGGGATGGGCGCACCTGTTGATGAGGCGACGGCGGCTCTCGTCGGAGGAGAGGTCGATGGTGGTGGTGGAGGCGCTGTTCTGCTGGGTGGTGGTGCTGGTGGTGGTGGTGAAACCGAAGAGGACGCGGTGGGGGGGGAGGGAGTCTTGACGAATCCGGTGGCAGTGCGGGAAGAGGAGGAGGAGAGGCGCTGGTCGGGGTCGCTCCACCACGGCACCTGGTCGAGCGTCACGGCCGGCTCCACCCGGCCCACGCCCGGCGCCGCCGCCACCGAGGAGGCCGAGGCCGACGCGGCCGTCAGCGAGCGCTGGATCAGAGCCGCGAGCGCGAGGGTTTGGGGAAAGGAGGAACGAGATCTGGACTCAGATTTGGAATCGTGGCTGAGGGAAGTAGCAATTTTGATGCGATTTTACCAGAATAACCCTGGTATTTGGAAACTTATTATACAAGTTACTTGGATAAAATGGTCATTTAACCTGAAAATTTTAAAATACTAAAAATTCGAATCGAATTTTATCATACTAAATGAACTTATGTGAAAAAATTGTCAAAAACAAAGTTGTATAACTTATTGAGATCTACCAATTTTATTTTGGTTATTTCTCCGTATGAGTTTGATTGACCAATATAAAATTCGGATTTTAAAATATAAGAAATTCAAATATTTTTTTTTCAGGTAGTTAATGATTTTAACTGAAAAAGTCATCAACAACAAAGTTGTATAACTTATTAAGATATACAACTTTTGTTTTGGTCATTTTGCTATATGACTTTGTTTCAATAAATTAAATTTGAATTTTAAATTATAACAACATCAAACAACATTTTCAAATAATAAATGATTTCAACTGAAAAAGTCATCAACAACAAAATTGTATAGCTCATCAATATCTGCAACTTTTGTTTTGGTCATTTTGCTATATGACTTTGTTTCAATATATTTGAATTTGAATTTCAAATTATGACAACTTCAAACAACATTTTCAAATATTAGATGATTTTAACTGAAAAAGTCATCAGTAACAAAGTTATATAACTTTTATTTTGGTCATTTCTTAATCCAGCAAACTGATAGTAATATTATTCACAAATTTTACACATCTCTTATGTGGTTTTATAAACTATAAGAGAGATGTAATTTTCGTGAACAATGTTACTATCACTTTATCGGATAAAGAAATGATCAAAATATAAGTTATAGATATTGATGAGTTATACAACTTTGTTGTTGACAACATTTTAAGTTGAAATCATCTAGTACTTGAAAATGTTGTTTGAAGTTGTCATAATTTGAAATTCAAATTCAAATTATTGAAACAAAGTCAAATAGCAAAATGATCAAAACAAAAGTTGTAGATATTGATAAGTTATACAACTTTGTTGTTGATGACATTTTCAGTTGAACTCATTTAGTATTTGAAAATATTGTTTGAAGTTGTTATAATTTGAAATTCAAATTTTATATAGGTCAATCAAACCCAAATGGAGAAATAACCAAAATAAAATTGGTAGATCTTAATAAGTTATACAACCTTGTTTTTGACAACTTTTTCACATAAGTTCATTTAGTATGATAAAATTCGATTTGAAATTTTAATAGTTTGAAATTAATTGAGAGGAGAGAGCCAAAATGAACTTCTGGTTGGAGGGAGGAGGGGAAGGGGCAGCTTGGCTGCTGGGCCGGCAAGTTGAGTGGCGCGGCCCATGGAGGAGTAGAGGAGGCCTTCACGGCTCGGGCCGAGGTGGGCCGAGGGAGAAAGGAGGGAGAGGGAAAAAGGCCGAGCGGGCTGGCGGGGATTTGAATAAGACTTTGGGACGGATTCGGCCCAAATGACAAAGGAGGGTTTGTTTTTAGTTTTTATTTTTAATAAACTCTATTAATTGTTTTTTTCTTAATAAATATTTCGGTGCTCTGAAAATTCAAGTAAACATCCAGGACATATTTTAGACCGATGAGAATTTATGAAAAATACTTTGTGCCACATTCAAATTTTTTCTTGCACGTATTTTAGTGTTTGCCATTTTCTTTTAGGATTTTACTTAATTATATTATTCATTTTAGAGAATAATTTTTAATTTGGGTGAATTTATCCGGATGTGACAATTATTTTAGGGCGTTACAAAGGGCAGTTCAAGCATTCATCATTTTAAAAAGAAAAAAACTTATGATAAACCAGCATTGTTAGGAACTTGTGACGTTTGTTGGTAGGTCTCTTATGACAAAATAATATTCGTCACAATGCACCATTAGACTAGTTTATGACGATCTGTATTTGATCTTAGTGACGACCACCCTATTTTTGTCACTAACCAGCACCACCCCCTATCAAACGTCATAAAACGAAATGGCATAGTGACGAAAAGCACCGTCGTCACGAGGAATTCGTCATAGAAGATCATATTTCTTGTAGTGTGGATGGGCAATAAAATTTACTTTCAATTCTGACAAAGCTACGTAGCAAGGTAGTACATGGTCAGGACTATACTAGCCAATTTTTGCGTGAGCTGCTTAGGTTTGTGAACTTCTTCCCCTTCATGCTTATTATTCTCTTTATATTTGAGGAATATCTAGACGGTACCTTGATGCTCTCAGGCATTCAAACATACTTTCCTTCTCTTCCTTGCTCAGGGTGTAGCTAGCTGGACTCAAGTAATGGCTTCCTTTCTTCTTCGGTTCCGAATGATGGCCCTCGCGTTGTTCCTTATGCTTGAGATCATTATGTGCTTCAAATGTATCTTTCGACTTCCTATATACACCTGAAGCCCAGCAGGTTGACGCAAAGGTTCTTAGTGAGGTGCATCACATCGATTGCGTGATGGGCGTCCAAGAGTTCCCAATAGGGTAACTCTCAAAAAATAGACTTCTTCCACATCGCCGTGTGACTATCTTCGCTCTCTATAGGTTGGCTGCCAAGTCCCTTTCCAAATACTACTTTCAGATCTTTCACCATAGCAAACACGACTTTTCCATTGCGATGTTTAGGCTTAGTACGATGGTCTGCCTTCTATTCGAAGTGCCTGCCTTTCTTCCGTATAGAGTGGCTTGCAAAAAGGAATCGACAATGGCCCATGTACATAACTTTCCTACAATGTTTTAGATATGTACTTTTAGTTTCATCCATGCAGTGGGTGTGTTAACAATGGAATTTTGCATTAGATTCAGAAAAGAAGGAACAAGATCAAAGTGGATTTGATGAAGGAGCAAGTTGTATTTGAGGTCTGACTCAACATCTACTGGGCATCGTATCGGCTGGAGACAGAATAAAAGTTTGGCTTAGCCGATATGGCAAGTGGTCGATAGGATATAAATTGGGCACGGTTTGGGGCTAGATTGGAATAACCGTCATTGCCAATTAGAGATAGGATATTTATGTCAATTTGTTAGAGATTTGGTAAGAGACCACCATATGGTCTTGTTTGTATCTTATCTTTAGGAAAGTTTGAGTCGTGTCTATCATGGACTAAGTTTGTACTTGGGGTATAAATATGAACCCCAAACCATTTTAATAAGGGAAACAATCCAATACAACTTCGGCGCATCATCATCCTTTTTTGTTCTACTTTTCGTCAAGTTCTCTTGACAAGAGGTAACTCGTCTCGATGGCTTGCGCTATCGGGGTTACTATGTCGTTTTAGATGTTTTAGTCCTTTTATCATAACCATCTGCTATCATATGTCTTAGTTAATCTAGTCTTAGTATCTTAATTGAACTCTATCGGCTGGTACTCGTTTTAGGGTTCTTGCTGGTATTGGCTAAATCGTTTTACTATATTAGATTAACTAAGGCATTGTCACACCCGAAGTTTTTCCCCCTTTCCCTTAGTTTCTAAATCATTGCTAAATCGTCTATAGAAAAAACTCTGTTAACCAGGAGGAAACCTTAAATAACAATGTGTTTAATAATCAAAATTGTCGGGGAGAATTTTTTTTCGAATTCTCTTTGCTTGAAATCACTAACAGGATGTTCAGTGAAATATTCAGAGTAGAGGAAGTACTAATGTTAATTTAAAATGTCAGGAGTTGAATTAATAATTCCTTCCCCTCTCTCCTTTGGTCGTGAACCGCCCCCGGTTCACTCTCCCTGTTCGTGGTACGCTGTATCCGCCAATCCCGTTGCTGCCGCGGTTTCGTTTTGTATAACGAGCCGAGTCCTATTCTTTCTCGGGTCCCGTTCCCTTTTCCTTTCCCGAAACGGCAAAGCATCTATTTATTTTTCCTTTCCCTTTTTGGTACCCTATTCTATTAGGTTTTTCCCCTTCTCCCTCTCCCCTAGCCGCCGCACACCACCTCCTACTCCCCATGTCATGCGCGCCACCTCCTCTCTCCCAATCCGACTCCCCTTCTCTCTCCTTTGCCGAGTAAATTAAGGCCCACCTAATCCATCTTAATTCCCCCTATATAATTATTCATACCCCTCTATTTTTCCTATTTTTCCCTCGGTTGTGAAACCCTAGCTGACCCTAGTCGCCGCTGCCGCCTTGTTGCCGCGCCGCTGCTAGCTGTCGCCGGTGAGCTCCCATTCGATTCCCTCGGCATGGTTGTTTCCGTAGTTTCCGCTTGATCCGTCTAACCTAATTAATCTTGCTTTGATCTAGCGTCGCCGTCTCTCCGTGTGTTGCCGCCGGACCGTCGTCACTGTCTCCTCCTCTCCGATCATCTTGGTTTGGTGAGGCTCCTAACCGTGATCTCCTGGTTTAGGTTTTAATTTTCTTAGCGTTGTTATTGTAACCCTAATCATGTCGCTCCCAAGCCTTGCCACCGCCTAGCGTCGCTGCTGCCGCAGCCGTGCGCCGCCAGCCATGCCGCCACTGCCGGGTGCCGTGCGTCGCCGTTGCCGTGTGCCGCCCTACCGCGCCAGCCGCCGCTGCTGCCGCCCGCTGCCGAGTGCTGCAGCCGAGCGCCGCCGCCGCTGTCCTGCGTCGCCGTCGCTGCCTTGTCGCGTCCCAAAACGACTCTAAAATACATCCTCGAAATTATGCCTAGAATAATTAAAATCCGTGTGAAAGCCTCCAACAATTAAAATGTGCAAAGTTAAAAGTCAAATAAGGCTTGGAGGATTTTTGTATATTTCCTAAAAGCCTAAAATGCGTAAATAAATTTTAGTGGAATTTTCAGAGCACAAATAATAATTATTAAGAAATAAACAAAGTTAAAATGATTTTATAAAAAGAAAAGCTCTAAAAAGTCCTTTTCCCCCCTTCCCCTCTTGGGCCGGCTCGGCCCAGTTCCCTCCCCCTCTCTCCTCCTCCCCGCGGCCCACCCGGCCTCCTCCCCGCGCGCGCGCCGCTGACGGGCGGGCCCGCCCGCCACCCTCGCTGACGGGTGGGGCCCACCCGTCATCCCCTTCCTCCCGCCGCTCCCGCCGCTCGC